ACCATTTTGTCTTAAATCTGCTTCTGACCCTATGCTTCAAATGGTTTAACTGCCTCAAATGAGAACAAATGTAGAATCTTCACCCTAGCTGTCTCTGCTGCAAAGCCTTGAGACTTGATCTTGTCCCTCCCTCTGACATTTATTGTGGTTCTCTAGAGAGTCCATAGTATTCTGCATCACAGTCCAGACTCTTGCAAAGTCAGTAGTCTGGATGTGAGGCAGGAATCCACCCAGGATGGGATGCCAGTCCATTGTAGGACAAAATGCATATGCACATTCACACGCAGGGGCATTTTTGCATAGTCAAATCACATACCAGCATATTTTTTAGGAAGTGGGAGGAAATCAGACAACCTGGAGGAAACCCTTACTCTTGATTTTCCCATTTTAGGGCAACTTTTTAAATGTTTTTTAAAAGGTCTTGTCTGTTTCGTTATCTTAACACAAGAACCTCATGCTCTGCATATTTTACACTGAAACCCAAACAAAACAATTGAAGCCAGTCATGGGGATGCAGACATGGCTCATGGAAGGCATTTTGAAATAACCTTCTAAGCAATCTTTATTGAAGGGTTCGAATGATGTCCAATGTGCTCGTAAAATTGCTTGGAGTGTTTTGAAAATGGAGAATCTTTTCGTCTGACCGGCCAACTCTTAGTTAAACATAAACATATACAATTGTATTGATACTGGCAGGCCTACTAGCAGTACTTATCTTAACATAATGATAACTCCCCTGCACTGGTATGGAATATCGTTCTAAAATTACAGTTATCCAGTTAGATAAATGTCACATACGTATTTAAAAAAAGGTCCAAATGTTTGGATGAACACTGGGGAGGATCATTCAGATGACTATCGTTTGTCATCTGAATGATATCTATCTATCTATCTATCTATCTATCTATCTATATATATATATATAGCATTGTCATTATTTTACTATTATATTTTACTATTTCACTGAATGCAGTTACTACAAGCACAATGTCAAACATAGACAGACAGTATGGTGTTCCTAGAGCTACTGCTATATTTAGCGTTTGGAACGCCATTGCCAGGCTCTGAGGTAAAACCTTGTGTTTCTGTTAACAGTGATATGATGAATGGAACATACAGTATAATGATGCCATAGCTCTTGTTTTAGCACACACTACATTTCCCAGGAGTCCAAAAATCTAAATCGCTAGTGCAACTGTAACATCCTGATAGAGATCCTATACTGCTGATTACATAATTACATGTTAAAGGTGGTGTAGCTCACTAAGCTAGGCTTGCCAGACTGCAAGCTTAATCTTGTTCAAATAAATGTTTGACCTGTATAAATACTGGTTATATAATTGTTGTACCTAAGAAATGCTGCAGAAATCATAAAGGCTTTCCAGTATTTATTGATGCAGGAACCACAGGTATATAAAACAAATTTTTACGAGCTCCTGCTCACCCTCCTTGGTTGGAGAAAATTATTATATTATACTGAATATCATTTATGTACACTGTTTGAAAAAAGGGTTCTTCAGGGGTTATTTAAGGGCTTGTTGCTAATTAAGTGTTCTTAGCTTCCTAAAAAAGGTTCCTCCAGGGTACATCTTTTATACCTTGCCTTTAATTATATATCTTTTTGCTGGAAAGGTGCATGTAGTATAGTGCATTTAAAGATATTTATGGTGGGAAGTTATTTTTCAATTCAGATGGTTGAAGACCCGTGTATTGAAAGGGTATTTTGGGAAGGTTTTTATTTTCTTTCTATGGCATTGCATCTTTATTTACATGCAAGGCAACTTGGTGCATAAATCTCAAACATGGATTGAATCAAGAAACTGATGATAAACAAAATTATGGTGGAAAAGCAGCATTTTACGTGTGGGATCATTTTGGTTACTCTGTTAAATTCAGTCCTCCTGGTTCAACGATGTTTAACAGCACAGTGCATATCACAGTCAATAAACTGTATGTAAAAATATATACACTCCTGTGCAAAAAAAAAAAAGATAAGATAAGATAAGATCAACTTTATTAATCCCCGAAGGGAAATTCAGGTAGTCTTGTAGATAAGTAAGAAAGAAAGTAGTAAGAGTAGTAAAAATTAGTGAGAGTAGTAGAAATTAGTGAGAGTAGTAAAGTAGTGAAGTAGTAAAGTAATGAGAGTAGCGATTAGTCATCTGCCATTGGCTAAGGTGTTGTAGAGCCTGATGGCAGTGGGGATGAAGGATCTCCTGTATCGTTCAGTCCTGCAGCACAGTGAGGTGAGTCGTCCACTGCAGCTGCTTCTCTGGTCCATCAGGATGTTGTATAGGTCAGGGTATTCCAGAATGGCAAAATATTAAGCTTTTAATGGTCTAAACAACAAGTTATTGGTCAGGAAATTAGCAAGAATTAAACAAATAGATAAAGGAAGTTATTATGGGATAACTTTTCCCTTTGATTTCTTTAAATGTTTAAGCCTTGTGGCCCTTGATGAGCTGCATTAGGTGTGGCAGATACCCAAATAATGTCTAATCTATTAAGAAAAAAAAAAACACCCCAGAAGATATTTTTGGAAAATTTTATACACCCAGACATGTGTTAGTTTGAGTCTTACATCAAACATTTTAATCACTATCTTGATTTTACCTTTGTGTACAAGAAGACTATATAAGTGAATTTCCCTGTTCTTAGTTTTTCCCCAAACAAACAGTTCACTGCAGCAAAAGTAAACCAGCAAATGGTGGCACAGGAGCTCTCAGGAGCGCACTTGTTTAATTCTTTCTAATTTTCTGACCAGTGATTTGCTGTTAAGTCCATTAAAAGCTTCATATTTGCCATTTTGGGCTTGGCCCAATTTTTTGCCCAGGAGTGTAGATTGTAGATGTGTACATTGTTTATCTTGTGCAGCCTACAGGCATGTCCTCATGTAAATTGTATTTGGAGGAAAGCTTTACAGGTACAATATAGGATGTAAAATATATGTCTGGGAAGGTACAAAAGGTGTACTGAGTGTACTGGACAACCAGAGGGTTGTAAATTTTCTAATAATCTGCTATTTCCGTGCGCAGGTTTGCTGGGGCGACCCTATGTGGGATATAAGTGTGCACCTTGAGACGATTTGATTGGTTCGGAAAAGCCGAAATGATCACGTGACCTGCCCGACCGAAAAGGACGCGGCGCTTTAGAAGACAACACGAAAGTCTCAGTGTGCAGGAAACGATTCTCTGAGCCTGAGTCAGTTTCTCTGGAAATTCACATCGTGCTCTTTTCCGCGTGGCAGTCCACACAGAGCATTCGCTTGTCTGCTTTACTTGGATTAGGTCACGCGATGGATCCTGTGAGGAACCGGGCTGCAGTATGAGCAGGATTATCATGGGAATAATGTGATGGATCTGTATTTACCGCTTGGAATGAGTCAGCTGCGGGACTCGACATCACACCCTGCCATGGTTACGCACACGCATTTTGGACACACTGCTGCTCCACGGGCTTCGGGGTGTCATTTTGTTTCCTCTCACCCCACTATGAAGAAGTAAAGCACCGACCTGTGCGTTCGGAGAGTCCGGTATGTTCTGATCGGGACAACTTTTTGAAGGTCGTGCTGTTTGTTTATTTATTTTCTCCCCATCCACAGTTTCCCAACTTACTCGGCGACGATGGTGGATGAACATTCTCCTCCTCCGTCTTACATTGGGATGGAAGTAGTGATCGCTCTCGCCTCCGTCTTAGGGAACGTGATGGTGGTTTGGGCGGTGAAGATAAACCGCTCGCTGCGGGACACCACTTTTTACTTCGTGGTCAGCTTGGCATTGGCGGACATCGCAGTCGGGGCTCTTGTCATTCCCTTGGCCATAACGATCAGCTACGGACTGAATACGCACTTTTACAGCTGTCTGATGGTCGCTTGCATTATGCTCGTTCTCACTCAGAGCTCCATCCTAGCTCTCCTCGCCATCGCCATTGACCGCTACCTGAGGGTCAAGATCCCGCTCAGGTAATATCCCGCACACCAAGTAATCTCTCGCACACCATGTAATCTCCCGCACACTATGTAATGCATGTAAAGTCCCGCACACTAAGTAGTGTCCTGCACACCATGTAATGTCCCACACACCATGTAATGTCTCGCACACCATTTAATGTCCTGCATACCATGTAATGCATGTAATGTCCTGCACACCATGTAATTTCCCACACACCATGTAATGTCCTGCACACTAGGTAATGTCCCACACACCATGTAATGCATGTAATGTCCCGCACACCATGTAATGTACCGCACATCATGTAATATCCCACATGCCATATAATGCATGTAAAGTCCCGCACACTACTTAATGTCGCACACACTAAGTAATGTCCTGCAAACATGTAATGCATGTAATGTCCCGCACACCATGTAATGTCCCGCACATTACATAATGTTCTGCACACCATGTAATGTCCCGCACACTAGGTAATATCCCGCACACCATGTAATGTCCCACACGCTAGGTAATGTCTCGCACGCCATGTAATGTCCCACAGGCCATGTGATGTCCCGCACACCATGTAATGTTCCACACACTAGATAATGTCTCGCACGCCATGTAATGTCCCACAGGCCATGTGATGTCCCGCACACCATGTAATGTTCCACACACTAGGTAATGTCCCGCCCACAAGGTAATGTCCCGCACACCAGGCGGCTGCAGGTGACAATGCCATAGATCATGGATATGCAAGCTGCATCCAATAATGCACGTGCCATATATTCTTCAAGTTTTTTGTTAGCCATGCTTTATCACTTTTTACTAACAGTCTAACAGTCTAAATGTATGAACTAGCATCTGCAGTGTGTTAAATGCTTAAATTGCTTGGGAATGACTGTGACATGCGTCCAGGGCTGACCGATATATCCTTTGTGAATTATTTACATTCATGGCATTTGGCAGACACTCTTATACAAAGCATTACATTTTACATTTATCTCATTTATACAACTCAGCAGTTGAGGGTTAAGGGCCTTGCTCCAGGGCCCAGCAGAGGCAGCTTGGCAGTGCTGGGATTTGAATTCACGACCATCTGATCAGTAGTCTGATGTGTTAACCACTGAACTACTACTGCCCAAAAAATGTTAATGTTACAATAGGCTACTGATAAACAAGCCCTTTATCAAGTGGGCAAATATTGACCATTTCAAGAGGGAATGGTGGGTAAAATGTTTTGATGAAGAATTCCCTATATAGCCTGCAGTTCCCAGAAAAATGTTCTTTAGAGAACGAGTTCTCACATTTTGCAGCCAGGGACCCTTATCTGTTAAAAAAAAAAAGTTAAAAGGTACAGAGAAACAAACAAACAAAAAAACAAAACAGAAAAGTCACAAATTTCGCGTGTGAATAATACTACTCATGTTACTCTCATGTTATGTGTCACAGTTTTTTGAGTTTTTTTTCACGATATGATTTTATTTGTCAGCTTTTCTCACATGGCTCATTCATTTTCACACCTTACCCCATATTGTTCACATGATGCAAACAGATGTTTACTTGAATTCACACTTTCAATTTCAGCCTTTAATGATTATTCACATAGTCCACTGTAAAATGCATGTGAAGGGCTTTTTCTTGGGACTTTGGATGGATGATTCATTAAATATTATGTTGGTTTCAAAATAAACAAATGATTCCTTTCATACCATAAATGTGTTTTAAGTGTTTAAGTGGCATATCTATTTCAGATATTTTGTGAAACTGCCCTCAAATTGAGCTCAACAATCCTCCCTATCTCCCAAAGTTTAATATAACAATGCATGTCATAATCAAAATATGTGGAAATATGAACACATGAATGACTATGACATTCTGCATCAGTTTATGGTTGGCTTTATAATACTAAAAACATGTCCAATAATACCTATAGTTTTTACTCTTTCATAAGTTGTTTCTGGCAGTTGTCTTAGGGTCCTCAAGAGACTAAATTGAAACTTTGTGTTGTGAATAAATACATTTACATTTCCGGCGACAGAAAAAGATGTTGTCGAACTCTTTTGTCTTTTGGCAAATCATCAAATCATTGGTGCTTTGCTCTTGTGCTTAGATTCCTAAAAAAAAAATGTGTGAATCATGGATATTTTGAATTTTTTTTCTAGCAGAGTGTTATATAGAACATCAGTTATTATCCCAGTAACTCAGCCAAGACTTTGACAGTGTATATGCTATTGCAGTGGAGTTTTCTAGCATGCTCTTTCCTGAGCAGTAACCCATATCAGCCAAATTTCCACCTCCATTCCACAATAACAGCGTTCCTTTATTGTATATTAAGGCAGCCAGAGTGGTAAGATAGAACTGGCCATCTAATAGCATCCTCAACAAAGGGTGAGACTTTTTCAAACAAATAATTTTCAGATGTCGTCATTTGTGTCGTCAAGGTTTTCTGTGAAATGTTGCTGTGCTGAGATATATACAGTTTATATATGTATGTATGTGTGTGTATGTGTATAAGCCTATCATGTGACAGCAGGGCAACGCATAAAATCATCCATATAAAAGTCAAGAGCTTCAGTTCTTGTTTACATCAGAAATGTGTTCTCAGAAAAGCATCTCATAAAGCACAACACTTCAAACCTTAGGCCTGATGGGCTACAAGAGCAAAAAAAAACACATCAGGTTCCCCTCCTGATAGCCATGAGCAGGCACAGGCTTTCCACATAAGGAACAGGAATCTTGACTATACACGATACACACTGACTGTATGTATGTAGACACACAGTTTAGGTTTTTGCTTCTGATTTCCTGTTATGATTAACTCCTAAATGATGTTGACATACAGCTGTTATGTGTGTATTTACAAATGTCAATCGTGAGCAGAACTTGTCTCTATGACTACACATAGATGTGTCTGAATGTGCCCTTTTACAAGGGATTGCAGATTGATACAAGAAGTTTTATGTAAAATGAAAGTTACTTCCACAGAAGTTGGAAAAAATGTCACACCTTTTTTCTTGTCGCTCGAGGTCTTAGTAAATACAGACCAGCCAACCGTCACATGTTTTGCACTAAAAACTGGGACCAAAAAAGATGAAATCTAAAATAAAGTATCAAATATAGCACTTTTTCCTGGTCAGGGTCGTTGTGGATCCGGAGACTATCCCAGGAACACTGGCTGTGAGGTGGAAATACACCCAGGATAGATTGCAGGGTGCACATCCATTCCCACACATTCACACTACGGGCAGTTTATCCTAGCCAGTCCACCTGCTGGCATGTTTTTTGGGAGGTGGGAGGGAACCACAGAACATGAAGAAAACCCGCACAAAGGAAGAACATGCACAGAAGCTCCAAGCAATAACCTGATCAGATTAATTAATCAGATTACCTGATCAGATCAGTGAATCTTTTCTCCATGGTAGAATGAAAAGCAGTTAAATTAACCAATAACAAATAAAGGATTAAAGTTTCTTCTTGTTTGATCAGCTGATCTGTTTAGAACAGTGCATGACAAAAATGTACACTTAAAATGCACATAACTGGGTTTAACCACACCCCATTACCTGATTTTGTATTATGCAAATATTGAACTGGACCCAGTTTCCCAAAAGCATAATAAAATTTAATTATGTTTATTTTGTGATGTTTTGGGAAATTCAGTCCTTACTGCTTGTGACAACGGCTCTTGGGCATGACTGGAATTACAATTGCAGTATTCCAGAAATAAAATTAAACGTACATGGTGTTTTCTGGGATTTTTCTCCATTTGCTCCCCTGTTGTGACAGTTAAATTTTTTAATTTAAACATTTTCTTTTTTTTTTTTCAAAACACTCAAATTATAATGCAACATGTTACATTTATGAATTACATTATATTTTATCTGACCTTTTTTTCCCCCCCCATTCTCTATCCTGTTCTTTAGCTACAAGCGAGTAGTGACACCGAAACGAGCTGGGACAGCGGTGATAGCATGCTGGCTGGTGGCCCTCATCGTGGGCTTAACTCCCATGTTCGGCTGGAACAACCTGGAGAAACTCAACCAAACCAACAACTCTCAGGGACCCAACCCCATTGTCACCTGTAAGTTTGAGAAGGTTGTCAGCATGGAGTACATGGTCTACTTCAACTTTTTCAGCTGGGTGCTGCCCCCGCTTGTCTTCATGCTTGTCATATACTTTGAGATTTTCTACATGATCCACAAGCAGCTCAATAAGAAGATCAATAAGGGGGCCAGCCAAACTGATCCCAGCCGTTATTATGGAAAAGAACTCAGACTGGCCAAATCTCTAGCTCTGGTGCTTTTTTTCTTTGCCATTAGCTGGTTACCGCTGCACATCCTGAACTGCATCACTCTATTTTGCCCCAGTCCTAAAACTAAGATCATTATCTATGTGGCTATCTTGCTTAGTCATGGCAACTCAGCTGTCAACCCGGTCATATATGCCTTCCGCATCAAGAAATTCCGTACTGCCTTCGTCAAGATCTGGGAGCAGTATGTGTGCTGCAAGAAAGTGAACCATTTGGCTGGTAAAAGCACCCGACGAAGGGAGAGTCCAGAGAAGAAGATGCGACTAAATAATCACATTTGACTAAGCTAGAACATCGCACATAGCTGGCCATGTTGATTATTTTAGTGAAATAACTGCATTAACATTTAACATCCAGGTCTGAGATCCTGTGATGTCTTTACTAATATTTCCTCTTATGAGAACGTTTAGATGAAGCAGCATTCTGTCTGAAAGTGTGATGGAAATATTCACAAAAAAGTGCCATGCTCCATCTGCAGAGGTCCATTAATTATGACAGCTGCTTGTGTTAGTGGAAATGCTACATGGTGTATAGCACTGGCATCTGCTGATCGTGTTTGTCTGTGATTTCCCCAGTTTTAAATGAGATTTGCAGGCTTTAGAACATCAAATTTAAAGTGCTTATAGCCACATCAGGCCTTGCGCAGACCAGGCAACAGCGCTGTCTTTAATCTTCTTCGAAGTGAATGGCACTGCAGCATTAATAGTGAAGCGGAAGAATGTCCATGTATGGTTTTGGATTATGTTTCCTTGAGGAAGGGCAAATTTACATTGATAAAATGCAAGTCAAGTCATAATTCCTTTGCTGTCGAGAATAAGATTTCAGTAATATTTTACCATATTGATTTTACTGTTTTTACAGCTTCTGAAGTACGATTATCTCTTCAAGGTATGCTTAAGCTCATAATGTGCTTAAGTGCAGACCATCCACAAAAGGTTTGATATCTACAATGCTTTGAGCAAAAGAACATAAAATAAGTGTTCCATAACAGGCAAGACATAATCATGAATTATTCCGGTTTGAAACATACTAATAAAGTCCTGATAGTGTTTTTAGTAATACCTCTGATACTGTGATGCTTAACCTCCAAGGATCATTTCCTATGATATCAAATGATATTTGCTATCACAGAAAATGTTTTTCAGTTAACACGTCTTTCTGAGCTGCTTCTTGAGAAACAACATTAATTCTGCTACATGCTCTCCAAGTAGAATTAATCTAATCATATCTGTAGTTATACCAAAATCCCCCCTTAAACATCTGTGTACATATGTGTCAAGAGGTATATCTTAAAATGCAGCGCTGCTGAGAAAGCCACAGCTATTTTAAGATAGCTGATCAGAAGAGGCGGTGCCAACTATTTGTGCAAACTGCTGATGTTCATGTAGTGTTACTTTCCTCTGTTGGCAAGAGTTTTGGTTTTTGGTTTTGCATCCTACATAGGGTGAGGTCAGAGTTTTGGCAGGTCCTCAACTCTGCAAGTGTATAGAATATTTACGTCTTTAAATTTTGCCTTTTTTTTTTTTTCATGTGACTTCAATGCATTCTTAAAGTAGATCATATTAATATGATTAATAAATGTTCCATATAATTATCCATCATGGGATATTTTTGTGAAATATTTCTCTTCTGATAAAAGCAGCCTGGTTAAAGTCAAAGTGGTGACAGGTGCAAATGCAAAATGATAGACCATAGAAGATCTTGAATACAAATCAAAGAAAGCCAGCAGTATATTCATGCAAGCTATAACCAGCTAGAATTTCCAAACAGATACTAAATTACTACAAATGGTAATACCAAATATCCGTATACTAGCATGTCCTTAACTAG